GTATGCCCCGAAGCAGGCATTGCCACCACTGTTGTCAGGGTTTGAGGAGGGGAGTCAGGGCTGCACCAGGGAGCAGGCCATCCAACAGGCAGGGCTAAGGGAGGTGCCCAGGCCTGGAGTGGATCCTGGCATGTTTCTCCCTTTCCTGGCCAAGGTCTAACAGTGACCTTCCTAGCTCAGGCCCGTGCCCCCTTCGCCCAGCCGGGACAATGGAAGAGAGACTCAAAGGCAACCAACACATTTTGGGGGAACGGGCAAACAATAGAAACGTGTTGGGAACAGAACATAAAGAATGCCCAGCTCCATAGGTGGTGCTAGGAAAGCCAGCTGTGCATCCAGGGTCAGCCCAGAGACCCCCTACCTCACACAACACACACTTGGGCTCAGTGAAATCACACACTTATATGTAAAAAGCAAAGAAAGTCACATGGGTGGAAGAAAACACAGAAGAACATACAGAAGGATTCTTAAATGAAACATATAAAATCACAAACCCTAAGCAAAAACTTCGTACATTGACTGTCTTCAATGTTTTTTCGTCATCTTGTAGTGAAAGGAATCATTTGCACAGTGACCCCAACAAAGTTGACCAGGAGGCTCTCCCTTATCCTGGCGATGTTCTTTCTGGGGCCTGCCTGGAGACACTCACATGTGCACGTGGAAACCAGGACAAGGTGCCCGTTACAGCCCCAGTTTAAAAGAAGAGAAGAATCTCCCCAGTGTAACACCAACTCACTAGGGAACGGCGTCACAACTGCAGTGTGTTAGCACCAGGCTCCAGCAAACAAAGCAAAACTGCAATCGTGAAGGAACCAGGCCAGCAAGGGCTGCCGGAGACTCTCACAGGTAGGATTTGAATGAGCATCAAGTGTTGAGAAACGCCATCTGATGATTATTTATGCAAAATGTTAGTAGCATACAACTGAATGATACACAGCCTCTTGGCTGGCTGTCTCTACGGGAGGCTTCAGTGAATTCGTGCACCCAAGATCCTAAGGCTTGTCTGAATACCAGCTGCTGTCAGCCTCGCGAGAGAGAAAAAGAAACACTGGCTCATTCAAGCCACTGTCATTTGGAGTTGCTATTAAATGGAAACCTGCGTTTCACTTAGTTAAAGTTATATTGTGGAATTTTTGTACTTTTTATATATTTAAAATAATTTAAACTTTTTTTTTTCACTCTGTCGCCCAGGCTCACAGCCACCGCAGCCTCAACCTGCTGGTCTCAGGCGATCCTTCTGCCTCAGCTTCCCGAGTAGCTGGAACTACAGGTGCACGCCACCAAGCCTGGCTAATTTTTTTTTACTTATTGTAGAGACAAGGTCTCGCCAAGTTGCCCAGGCTGGTCTCGAAAGGCCAAGGTGAGAGGCAATCCTCTCACGTCGGCCTTTCAAAGTACTGGGATGGACAGGCATGAGCCATCCTACTTGGCTAATTCAGACTTTGTAAAAAGCTAAAGCATCCAGGAAAGAAAACACAAGGCAGTGTCAGATGGGAGGGAATTCAGGTCTGGAAGCCCAGCAGACCTTCTGCAGACAGTAGTGTCAGGCTGAGTGCGGACCTTGGGCACGGAGGGCCCAGGGGTCTTTGGGAAGGAAGGAACATTTGATAGCCAGATCTCAGCAACAGCCATTGTAGGGGGAACGCAGTTAGAACAGTTTCTCTCTCTCCTTGTCTCAAACCTCAAACCCGCAGTGCCCACACGTGGCCCAGAATTAGAGGAACGCCTTTATCTCGGTGTAAACAAGAATAGCCAGCTCTAGTCACAGAAAAAAGGAATCACCTTCCAGAACTGAGCTGTGGGGACCAGGAGGTCGCACTTCCTCTCCAGAACCAGCACCCAGGCTCGCCCCATCCATACCCAGCCCTGGGGGCCCTGTCTACCCGTGCAAGTGACCCCTGGCTTAGGTCTCATCTACTCAGTAGTAACTTCTACATTTGTATCTTTCCTTTTGCCATTTTTAGATTTTGTGGTTATCCTTGTTTTACATTTTAAATTTGCTGGAAGTATATGTGGGCTTCATTCCTTAAAATGATGAAAGTCAAAGTCAGCAGAAGGCAGAGCTGAGAAGAACCCTAGGAGGAGGAATGGGGGAGGGGGGAGAGGTCCTGAGAGTACCTGAGTCCCTGGAGGTGCCCCACGGCCAGCTGCAGTGTTGGCCTCAGTCCTGAATCCCAGTCTCTCCTCTGAACCCTAGCCTCCCTGCTTCAGAGCTTCCACTCAACCAACCTCGATGTGGGCCTCTACCTTGAACCCCAGCCTCCCCTCTGAACCCTGGCCTCCCGTGCCTAGGAGTTGCCCCTTGACTGAACTCAACACGGGCCTCAGCCCTGAACCCTGGCCTGCCCTTTGAATCCCGGCCTTCCTGCCTCGGAGCTTCGCCTCAACCAACTTCAATGTGGGCCCTCCGCCCTGAAACCCGGCCTCTCCCCTGAACTACAGCCTCCCCTCTGAACCCCGGCCTCCCTGCCTTGGAGCTTCCCTTCAGTTGACCCCATGTGGGGCCTCTGTCCTGAACCCTGGCCTCCCTTCTGAACCCTGGCCTCCCCTCTGAACCCTGGCCTCCCCTCTGAACCCAGCCCTCTCCTCTGAACGCAGGCTTTCCCTACCCTGGTGTCTTCGTGGGATCTTCTGGGCTCCGCACATACTCTTGTTTTCAGCCCATGGGAAACCAGGGAACATTGGGTTATGGGGGGGGGGACTTGAGGAACTCAAGCAGGGGGTGAAGGGAAGGCCTTTAAGAAGCATCAGTAAGACCAGCAGGCCACCCGGAACCCGCAGGTCCCGGAGCCCAGGCTGGGCTGGAAGCAGGCCAGAGGATGTGGCAAAGTCAGGTGGGGCAGTGAGGTTTGGGACAGAGGCGGGAGGGCGCTGGGCCACAGGGGCGGGGAGGGGAGCATCTTGTGTCCTGCATAGACAGCCCGCAGCCTTCTCTGCCAGCTACACCACCTCAGCTTCACAAAAAGGGGCTGGTAGCTCGGTCCTGCCTGCCCACAACTGGCCTTCTCTGTATATTCTAAGGAATGCTTCCAAAAACACAGGGCTTTGGCTTGGGAGACCAGGCCATCTCAGTCACAGAGGCCTTCCAATGAAACCCACGAGGGGGCCAGAAGCACAGAGACAGGCCCCACAGACAGACAGATCAGCCAGTGCCCAGGACTCACTTAGAGAGATAGCCCATCTCCCCAAAACCAGCAAAGACATGTCCATAATTGTGACACCCCCTTCCACCCCAGTTTGCACCATCACCCCTCAGCTTAAAACTCCCACTGTGGTTTTAGTGAACTTGAAGCCATCAGAGAAGAGCTCCAGCCTCTGGGTTGGCATCTATGGCACACTGGCTGCTTCCTCTGTGTGGCCATGTGGGATTGCTTTTACAGTGACACCTCCCCTAGATGCTGCCCTGCAGCCTCCAGCTGTTCCTCGGGAAAAGCAGCCACAGTCATCAACATATGCCGCTGGTACAAGGGGGAGGCACAGCCCCCCAGAATGGAGCCAGGTTCTCCTGAGAGAGCATGCGGATCACATGGGGGCACAGCACCTGTCCTGGGTGTGGGCTGCCCTGGGTAGACCTGGGAGGGGCCTCACTGCAGGTCAGCGTCTTGGGTCAGAGCAGCCGCTCTCCTCCCCAGGGGTGCAGTCCGGTGACAGACACCCAGGGCCAAGAGACCCTCCTTCTATCCGGCAGGGGGTTCCACTCCCATCCCTCATCCTGTGTGACCACCCAAAACCAGTCTCGGCCTCCACGTGCTTCAAGGTGGGCTACTTCTCACTTGTGGGTTGGTCTATATCCACCCCCAGGGCCGTGCTCTGAATGGGGGCTACTCAGTGTGGTCTAGGGACCAGGAACTCATGCATCCCCTCGGAGCTGATGAGAATGCACGTTTCCCAACCCTGCCCATGGCCACTGGGTTAGAACCTCTGGGAGGGAACCGGAAACTTGGGTTTTGCTGCCTTCCTGGAGCTCTGGCCCCTTCAGAGCTTCTAAGCAGCTACAGATGAAGGCTGATGGCAGCTGGAAGACTCTGGAAAGAGAATGTCACTCAGGCTTTTCAGGGCCCCTTAGTTGCTGGTGCAGGAGGCTGTGAGGGTCCCACCCAGGGTCTAGAGCTTCCACACCGACTGTGGCCACTGAGCTGTGGTGCCTACAGCCACCAGAGGGCACCAGGGACCACCTGACAGGCACAAGGCGGCCATCGCGGGGACGAGCTCCTTCTTGTTTTCTCCACTCCCACCACCCTAACTGCAGGCAGCCCCCTCCTCCTAACACCTCTGGAGGAGGTCGTCGCCAGAACCAGCCACGTCCCCAGGCCCAGGGCACAGTGGCCTGTCACCGGGCTGAGAGCCACACTCAGGAGGCCAGAACTTGGCGGGGGCTCCTGCTCTCCTCTCTGGTTTCCTCAGCCCCCAACCCACCCCAGACAGACACCTGCTCTGGGCCCTGAGCAGGACTGGGGACACGGGGGGCAGACCCACAGGACGTCAGCGTGGGGCACTCAGCCTCCACCCCCACGTTGGTCTCTTGAGTGCATGCCCTCACCCCCCACCACCATCCCACCTTCCCCTTTGTCTCTGTCCCTCCTCTCTCCCTCCCCCACTGGAGCGTCCAGGGGTCACCTGTCCCTCGTCTCTCTCCCACCTGCGTCCTTGTTTCAGGGTCTGACCCTGGGCGTCCCATGAAAAATTCCTCTCCCTGCCAGGCACCAGGGAGCAGATGGGACTGGGCTTCATGTCCAGGTCTCCCCCATAGTGGGCTCCTCCCCACCTGCTGCCTGGGTGATGTCCTCTCCCCTGGACAGGAGATGGTTTTCACAGCTTTGTTCAGAGGAGGTGAGGCCACGTGTGGGAGGATGGGGGTGTCACCACAGAGGTGAGGCCCAGAGGGAGGAGTCTGTACCAGAGCTGGTGAATGTAAGGACAGGGCTGGAGCCCGGTAGGCTCCTGTGGGCCCTGCTATGAGGGGATGCCAGGTCTGCACCATGTCTCATTTCTCACCAAGGATGGCTCTGGCCTGGGCACTGCTGCTGCTCCTCCTGGGCATTGAGCCTCTGGTGACCCGTGCTTGGTGTTCTGAAGAGGACTTGGACAGCCATATTCAACAGGCCAGCGAACCTGAGTTCCCCACCACGCTGGATTTTGCCGTGCGCACGTTCAACCAGCAGAACCAGGACTGGCATGCCTACAGGCTGGTGCGTGTGCTCAGCTCACAGAGGGAGGACTCCTGGGCCCAGACGGTGGGTGACCTCTCCTTTTCTTGGCCTGACTTGGGTACTGGGTGCTCATCTGGACAAAGGGGGCCTCAACAGGGAGTCTGGACTCACCCCTCGTAGGCCATCTTGGGTAAAATATAACCAAATTAGGTGGTTTCTGCTTTTCGGAAACACTTACCTTGGGAGTCTTTTAAATTGAGTAAATGTCCACTCAGATGCAGGATGTACTTTCAGTCTTGGTGACTTCAATGGCATTGTAAAACTGAATGGCTGCAAGCAAGGACTTCTCAGGAGATGAAGGTGCCAGGCAGAAAAGGAAGAAAACAGACAGAAAAGTGTTTCAGGAGAGAAAATAAAAATAGACAATTCGGATGAGAATAGTGACTCATGCCTGTAATCCCAGCACTGAGGGAGGTGGAGGCCAGGAGTTCAAGACCAACCTGGTCAACATAGAGAGACCTAATGTTGTGCTTAACGAAAAAACAAAAGACAATTAGAAAAGCAGGGATACACACACAAAAAAGAGAGACAGAGAAAGAGAGTGAAGAGAGAGAGAACCAAGACAGAAAGACTGGTGGCAGGGAGAAATGAAAGAGAGAGACAGAGAGAGAGGGGGAGAGACAGAGACATACACAGAGAGAGAAAGAGAGAGAGAGTGTGAGTGAGACAAGAGACACACAAAGAGAGAGAGACAGAGACAGAGTGAGTTAGAGACCTGAGGACCTGGGCGCTGAGGACCCACCATAGGTCCCAGGGCCCTGTGAAGTCTGCTGTCTTCATGGTCCCCTACTTCTCGGGTTCCTGGGCAAGTCTGATGCCATGGAGTGAGCACTGTGTCACCCTACTCCTCAGACCCTGTTCTGAGCCCTCCCTGTCCTCCTTTCTACAGGGTCACTGTAGGAGCAGTTGGGAAGGCACAGTGCCCAAGACCACAGGGGACAGTGACAATTTCCAGTGGGCACTTCTGGGGGAGGAGCAGCACTCTTCCCCTCAGTCACCAGAGCCTGAGAAAGCCCGGGAGTGGGGAACTGGCCCTGCTGAGCTGGAGCCTCTGGGAAGGCTGCAGGGCCCTGCGGGTTCTCTGCCTGGGACGGGGCGGTGGTGGGGGATGGACAGGCGGGGGGAGCCGTCCATGGTGTTTCTGGCCTGGCAGTCCCAGGGTCAGGTGGGGCTGGGAGGAGTGGATAGATGGGACCAGAGAAGAGTGAGGTGGGATACAGTGCGGGGAGAGCAGGGAGGGCACATTGCAAGGGGCAGGTGCTGCCCTTGAAGCCCATGTCCAAGGGCCTGTGCAGGGTTTCGCGGGCGCTGGTGGCCTGGTTCATGCTGGAGGTCAGTGTCAGAAGGAGGTTGGGCAATACGCTGTGGGTAAGGCTCCCTCTCGCGGGCTGAGAGCACCCTGGAGACTCTCAGAGGCTAACACTCTCCCAGGTGCATGTCCTCTGGGGACAAATCTGCAGGTCCAGCCTCCTCTGAGAGTGAGCCAGTGTCACAGCAGTAGAGTGGGGGTGGGGCTGGAGGCAGGGCCCAAGATCAGGGCTCAGCCTGCATCTGCCATGCCCAAGGCTCTTGGCTCTGAACACCAGTCTAGAGAAGTCCCTGTGTTACCTCCATCCAGTGGCACTGGCCCTGGGTGGGCTCCCTGGTGGAGTCAGGTTGGGTCCCTCCTGGGAGCTGCTTAAGGACTGTGTTCACTCTAATCTCTTTGTGTACAATAGACCCCCAAGTTGACGTTCTCCATGAAGCTACTACTACGCCAAACATTATGTGGAAAATATGAGGCTGACATTGACAACTGCCCCTTTCAAGAAGGCCCAGAGCTGAACAATGTAAGCAGGACGCCCCATCCCCATGTGCACTGCTGGGTGGTGATGGGTGGATGGGTGTGGAGAGCTCACAATGCCACTCCTAGTGATGTGGGAGGACCCTGCAGCTCCCTTCTTGTGCCTCTATGGGACCAGCGGGCAGACTTCCAGGAGCACCCTGCAGGCCCAGGCCCACCTAAGTGTCCTGCCACTGCCCTCCTGCCACTGCAGTGGCCTCCACCTGGACACTGGCCTCAGCCTGCTCTTGTCCCCTGGGTTCCCAATCCCAGGCCCAAGTGGAGGCTATCCCTCTCTGCTCTTCCTGCCGCTCCCCCTGCCCTTTGGAGAAGGAGCCTAGTGGGCTCCTACCTCTTCCCATCTGCATATACAGCTCCCAGTGTCCCTGCACTGACCAAGCCCAGGGGCTGGAGGTTGAGGAGGGGCTGCTGCCCTCCCTCCAGGCCCTACCAGGGCTCTGCTGAGCTCAGCACCTGCTCTGGGGACAGGAAGGAAGCCTGGCTCTGGGGACAGCCCCTTGCCTGATTCATGGGGCCCTCATTGTAAGGTCAGCGAATAGGTGGCTTAAACACAAGCTTTCATCCCAGAGCTGCTCTCAGAGGACTAAGCATCCCTGCTGTGCTTGAGGGCATAGATCACAGGGGACAACCCGACATCCCAAAAGCCACTGGCTGGGAGGGGGAACCTGGCATAGATGCCCTTAGGGAAGGAGGCGCCCAGAGCCGGACACAGCCCCTGAATGGCCCAGGACTCAGGAGGGCAGCAGGACCAGGACCAGAGCTTCTGTCCCACCTGCTGGCTCCACAGGGGTGGGGTTGAGACGGGTCTGGGTCACAGCAAGAGCCCAGTTTCCCACCCCTACCCTCCATCCCTCCTGTGCCTCCTCCCTCAGACCGTCACCTGCTTCTTCACCGTCAGCACCCAGCCCTGGACCGCAAAGTTCGAGCTCCGGAAAAAGAGATGCTTAGATGGCATCTCCTGAGGGGCCTCAGCCTCACGCAACCACATGCTGTTCTCGGTTCCGTGAACACCCACTGCCCATAGGAGTGGACACCTTGGTGTCTGAGCACCTCCAAGCTCTCTGTTCTCCAGCTGTGCCAGTGTTGGGCTTCCTGGCTTGCCACTGTAGACTTCTCTCTGTCCAGTCACACCGTGTAGAATAGGTCATTAAACACGAACATTCCAGAGGTTGCATGTGCCATGACTCTGAGGGGAGGGGCCGGGGGCAAGGGGTGGGTGACTCTCTGCTGGGCAGCCTGTGGGGGCCGGGTTGGCGGGTCCTCCTTCGCCTGGGCCCTCCTTAGGCGGCTCCAGGTGGCATGACGTAGGTGCATCTGAGCTGCTGTCTCTGGGCTCGTGGACGATGATCCATGTGGCCAAATGACCATGACCTCCCAGGGCACCTCATGGGCATTGGGCACGACAGTCATTCTGGGCCCCACCCTCCTGGCAATGTGTTCTCTGCTCACACACCTTTCCTGTTTCATGGCAGGTGGGTGAATGGAGGAAGGACTTCCAGCCTCACACACAAAGCGTGGTGCTGGCACCAAGTTCAGTGGCAGCAACTTCTGGAAGAATCTAGAATGTACAACCTCAGATCCTCCCACCCTACATCAAAGCATCTTTCATAGGTTACAGGGTAGGGTTATCCATGTGGAAGGGTAGTTGCCCAGTATAGAAAGGTGCAGGATCCACGCTTGGCGGGGCAGCAGTAGGAATTCAGCATCAGGCTTCGCTTCAGATCCCAGCTCCAGGCCTGCCACCGTGAAAACCGAGCCAGGCGGGCCTCCAGGACCCCAGATCCCAGGCTTGCTCCTGCGCAAGCCCACTCACAGCCTCAGTCTCAGGTCCACTCCAGAGTGCAGCAGGTCCTATCAGTCGCAGCTCCAAGGCCTGTCCAAGCAGAACAATCTCCTGGCCAACCCTTCTGCCAGGCTGGCCCCAGTGGCCCAGGCTACAGACTTCCCCTGGACTACAGGCTGGCTTCTGGAACCCAGGCCCATCCCAGGAGATCCCATTGCTGGGTCATCCTGGTAGACTCCATCTCCAGGACAACTCTGCAGACAACACTGCTTCAGGCCAGCCCTCACAAACCCAGACTTCAGACTAGCACCCCCACACACGGTTCCCATCCTGGTCTCTTTGGGCCCAGGCTCCAGGCAAGCCCCAACGGCTCCAGACACCAAGCCACCTATCACAGCCTCAAATCCCACACTGGCTTACACATTCAGATCAAGGACCTAGCCCTGTCTCTACAGAGCCGAGCTCCAGGTTCACCCCAGTGCCTGGCTAGCCCCCACAAACAGGTTTCGGGCCTGTCTCCACATACCCAAGCACCTGGGTTTGCCTGGCCTCTTCAGACTCAAGGATAGCCCTGCCCTTCCTAAGTGCCAGATCAGCACTCATGGACCCTGGCTCTATTCCAATTTCAACAGATGTGTGTTCCATACATGCTCTTGCAGATCCATGCTAGATACCCACTCCCACTCACCTAGTAAACAGATCCACCCCAGTGGACCCTTTTAGTCAGCTCACATGAACCAATGAATCCCACCTCAGCTGACCCAAGCTTGAGGTCTCCCTGGAGATGCAGGATTCAGGGTTAATCTCAGGGATCCAGGCACAAGACTCTCACACCTGCTGACCCAGCACCAAGCCAGTTTGCCTGAGAACTCCAGCAGCAAGTTGGTCATGAACCACACCAGACAGTCTTCCCAGAATCCCTGAAAGGGCTGACTTGTGAAGGGCTTTCCCTGCCAGAGCCAGCCTGCAAAGACCGAAACAGGTGCCTACATTGGTAAATGTGCAGGATACCAACACATGGCCAAAAGCATTACAAATAACCAGGGACTACCAAGGGAACAAGATATAGCAGTATTGGCAGAAACTTAGTGGAGATTTATGAGTTACCTGACAAAGAATTCAAAATAATTATCTAAAGAAAATCAGTGAGCAGAAAGATAATACAAATAGACAACTAAATGAAATAAGGTAACAATATGCAATCAAAGTAATGAGGTCAACAAAGAGATAGAAACCACAAAAATGGGCCAAACAGAAAGCCAAACAGAGTCAAAGAACACAATGACTAAGCTAAAAAATTTCACAGAAAGCTCCAACAGCATATTCAATCAAGCAGAAGGAAGCATAAGTGAGCTTGGAGACAGGTCATTCAAAATTACCCAGTGAGGATGGGCACTGTGGTTCATGCTTGTAATCCCAGCACTTTGAAAGACGAGGTTGGAGGATTGCTTGAGCCTAGAAATTTAAGATCAGCATAGGCACCGTAACAAGACTGCGTCTCGACCAAAAAAAAAAATTTAACTGGGTATAGTGATGGGCACCTGTAATCCTGGTTACTCGGGAGGTTGAGGCAGAAGGATTGTCTGAGCCTAGGAGGTCGAGGCTGCAGTGAGCTGTGATCATTCCACTACACTCTAGCCTGGGCAACAGAGTGAGACCCTGACAAGAAGGAAAGAAGGGAGGGAGGCAGAGAGGGAAGGAAAGAAAGAGAAAGAAAGGAAGGAAGAAGGAAGGAAGGAAGGAAGGAAGGAAGGAAGGAAGGAAGGAAGGAAGGAAGGAAGGAAGGAAGGAAGGAAGGAAAGGCAGGAAGAAAATAGATTACCTAGCAAGAGGAGCAAAAACACAAAAGATAGAAAAAGGGCAAGGAAAGCTTATGGGAATTATAAGACGCCATCAAGTGAACTGATACATGCATTATAAATGTCCCAGAAGGAGCAGAGAAAGAGAAACAGGTGGAAAGCATTTTTTTTTTTTTTTTGAGTTAGAGTCTCACTCTGTCGCCCAGACTGGAGTGCAGTG